CATGATAAATATATAGAGGAGTCTCCGAGCCAAAAGAAAAAGCAAGACAACCCGGTTGACCTCTATAAAAACCGTTATTATGCGTCTACTTCAGCTTCAACTCTAGCAAACTTCTATTTTTTTTTCGTCAGTAAGGTTGGTCCAAATGATCGTCAGAAAGAGTTTTGTTTTTGCATTTGAAAAATAAGATTTTTCATTTATAACAAAAATGCAATATAATTAATTATAATTTAAAAAATAATATAATTATATCATTATTTCTAATTATTTCATGAGACTTAACAATTTCTTCTTGCCATTTTTCTTTTTCTTGATAGGTAAAACGTTTATTTGATTCTGTATTACTAATTTCAATAATTTCTTGATTATTATGATCGTAATTATTATAATTATAATCATAGTTATCCTGATTGTAATTATCATTGATATAATTATTATGATTATAATTATCAAGATCATAATTATCATTATCATAATTATCGTAATTGTAATTATTGTAATCGTAATTATCAAGATTGTAATTATCATTATTATAATTATCATGATTGTAATTATTGTAATCATCATTATTATCTGGTATGGTTATTATTTTTGAACTCTTTTCTGTTGTAAATCTAGTACTTTCTGAATTATGACTATTCTAATCAGCGCTAGTATTTGAATTGCATGTAAAATATTCTAAGCTATTTGAATTAGAGCTATCTGAATTGTTTCCTTCTAAATCAGAACTATTACTAATATCTGGTTCTGACTCTTCATCATCATAATTATTATTGCTATTTTTTTGTAATATTGCTGCTATATTATGATCATTATGAGGAATTTGACCAAATACCAAATTGTAAGGTGTTGTCTTGTGAGCTGAGCAATACTGGTTATTCATAGCCTCTATATAATTAAATTGTTATTACTAAAATTATAATAATATATAAATTGATATATATAAAAAAAAACTTACATATTACAGATTTAAGACCAATAATCCGATCTGATCTACCTGTTTCTTCCATCCATGCACCTAACTTTATTTGTAATATATCATTCCCTTTTTTCACAAGTCTCTGGCATCGTGGATTTCTTGGCCATCCATAAACTACTTTAATTGTTGGCCAGAAACTTAGCATATCTTTAAAAGTGCTTCCAATAAACTCTCCTCTATTATCTGTGTATAAAATCGCTGGAGGACTATATATAAAGCAAAAGTTAAGAAAAGATGTAGCAGCTTCTTCAGCTAACTTAGACAGTGCTGCTGGTTCAGCATATGAGAAATGAGTAAAATGATCTCTAATGTAAAATATATACTTATATCCTCAATCAGGAATTGCAATCATATTAATAGTATTGAACTATAACATATATATTATTAACGATAATAATTTTTTTTTATTTACTAATATAAATTATTTACTTGTCTGAATATGATTCAAAAAGCCTTCAGAATCAATTGGACGCATTGGTGGAATTCTTTTTGAAGCTCTTCAAGTAGCACATACATTATATTCATTGACTAAATTTTCTACTAACTGTTGAGGAATATAGCAATACCAAACACATATCTAATAATTATTAGTAAGAAAATTTTTTTATTTATAATTTTTTTTATTTTTTGGTTTTTTTTTTGGTTTTTTTTATACCTTTTGCCGGGTTTTTTCTTGACCATGCTCAGTTGCTTGATGAGCACCACAAATTACTTCATAAAAATTTTCAACTAAGCATACTTGAGTTCCCAAATTATTTTTGTATATGAAGTTCTTCCGTTGTACCAATAAGCTGAACTTTAAAGGTATTAATAGTCCAATGTTTAAATATAGCATTGCACTGAATATTTGAATTTTTTAATATATTAAGACATTCATTGTAGTGTTCTCTATCTATCAAACTTCGTTTGTTTTTTCTTTGACTTGTGTATGTTTCCAATATTTGGTTAAAGGTTTCACAGGTCAGAAAAGAATAATTTTGTGGATTCATTATTAGAAAGAAAAAAAATATATGATGATAAAAGATTATTTCTCAAATTTTATTTAT